TGCATCGTCTCCAAATGATTCAAAATGCTGCAGCTCGACTTTTAACTGGTGCACGGAAACATGAGCATATAACACCTGTGTTGGCTTCATTACACTGGTTACCTGTATCTCACAGAATTGATTTTAAGATTTTATTCTTAGTTTTTAAAGTTTTGAATGGCCTCGCTCCAACCTATCTACAACATCTCTTGCATGTTCACTCTTCAACATTGAGGTCAAACAACCAGATGCTTCTAGATGTTCCAAGATCCAGATTTAGGAGTAGAGGTGATCGTGCTTTTGCTGTGTCTGCTCCCAATCTATGGAACAACTTGTCTTTTCATATTAGATCTGCTCATAGCTTGGAAAACTTCAAAGTGCTTCTTAAGACTCACTTTTATTCAAAGGCATTTAATTAAAGTAAGACCTGGTATTGTAATTTATCTGTTCTTACTATTGTTGGTTGTAATTTATTATGTATTTCAGCAATTATTGTGGTTTTGTGATATTTGTGGATTGCTGGCACTTTGGTGCAGCTATTAGCTGTTTTTAAAAGCACTTTGTAAATAAAGTTGACATTGAAATTGAAATCCCCACTTCCTGGTACAACTGGGCCAAAGCAAAAGCTAAAAAAATCAACATGCATTATGGGAGATGTGGTTTATGGTCAATGCTGGCTTTAAAGCAGCTTATTTTGACACATTAATGCAGGGTTATTCAACGAAATTGCTCCGAGGCCGGACAAATATTATCTTTCACCTTTTAAATTTGTTTATTTTGTTGCACTGTATAAATTGACAGTTCACAATTGATTTATAATCTATTTTTATATTAAATTAAGAAAAAAATGAAATTGAAGGTGGGGGTGGGGAACTCATTGGCAGGCTGGACGTAAGTCACCTGCTGGCTAAATGTGGCCTATTTGACCCATGTGCTCTAACAGATTCTTTTAAACCTTACAATTTTGCACAATATCACGCATAATGTTGTTTACAAAGTTTGACGTAAGTGAATATACAGTAAATCCGTTTTTCTCAGCATAAGATGATCTTAAAGCAGCAGGAGCTTTGCTTCCTTAAAGGAACTTTGTACCTTCATGTTTGTAGTTATTTGCTGTTTCAGCATGCCTTCTCTGTGACTTTGCTAAAGTAAAAAATAAAAAAATTTCTAGAAGAGACATCTTCCTTTGATAGTGTTCGTTGTCGAGGTCCTGACTTCACCTCCTCACTTCCTCCTCGCAAAAGATGAACTTCCTCTTTCAGTTCTTGCTGTGTTGTGTTGGTAAGACAACTGATTATTCTGTGCCTGTGTATGATTTGTGATTCTTCTGAGTGTGTATAGTATCTGATTCCTGTGGCCGGAGCGAACAATTCCAGGAAAAGAGACAACGCGTTACAGTTTCTGAGACACAAAGACGGTTTTAAAACTGTTTTTTTTTTTTTGTCTGTGCTGCAGATTGTTGCAAAAAAGGAAATGGAACATTAAGAATAAAGCAGGAAGTTACAGCACTAATATTATCCTAACACAGATATAGATGAGTTAAAAAAAAGAAAGGGGTAAAAAATGGTAAAGCAGAAGCTTTTTATGGATAATGACGGAAACAAAAAGGCAAAAAAAGAAGTTTTTTTTGTTTTCTTGCTCAAAAGATGTTTAAAGACCATGTAAAGTAAAATGTAACATTTTCTTTTTTAAACATTATAAGTGTCATAAATGGATTGCTGTAAATGAGTACAAATTCTCTCAACTGTAGATATTTGAATAGTGGAGATATGATTCAATTTGTGTAACAAGATATCTGTGTTTCAGGATTTTTTGGGCGTGCCTTTAAGGCCAGCCTCGTGATGTCACGCAGCTGCCTTCAGTGTAACCCTGCCCCCTGTTGCTCTGATGGAAAAGAAAACAAACATTGGGCCTCATGCAAGAACAGGTTCGTATTCTTATCCTAAATTTCTCTTACTTTTGCTCGTACGAAGGGTTCTTACGAACATGTCACGTCAGATTCAACAAACTCTTCTATCTTCAGGAAAAGTGTGTAAATGAGCTGCGTAATTTCCACCTGTTCGTATCCAGCTGCTCGTGCACGCGAGAGGAGATTAGCATAATTACCACCCCAAAAACACCATATAAGGCTAAGGCTACGTTCACACTGCAGGTCTTAATGCTCAGTTCCGATTTTTTGAAAAAAATCCGATCTTTTTGTGTGAACGTTCACATTACATTTTAAATGTGACCTGTATCAGA